TGCCCGCGGTTTTTGTAAAAGGGTCCTAAATAGCCGTATTTGTCAGCATTGTGACGTCAAAACGAGCACGGTGACCCCCACTTTTTATTACTTTTTTATCATCTTCTTGACTTGTTACATCGGTGTACCAAGTTTTAGCTAAAATCTATGTTAGGTTCTTTTACTATGGAATCACCTTAAATTAATTTTCCCTTAGTATTTTAGTTTTTAAGCATTTTGGGATTTTAGTAGTTTCATTGGGCCATAAAAGAGAATGCAGTGTAACTGTTATAATTATCATCACACTGTATTCTCTGTTATGGCCCTATGAAACTACTAAAAGGATTAATTTCTGGATATGTGGGAGAAGAGGTGACTTTCACTATTACTGCTGATGACACGCAAAAATGAGGGCATACTCTTTTTAGTAGTAGTAACACTGTTACAAAAAGGTGTTACTACTACTAAGAGTATGCCCTCATTTTTGCGTGTCATCAGCAGTACTATTGAAAATCGCCTCTTGTCCCACATATCCAGAAATTAATCCTAAACTGTTTGCATAGGTGGTTTCTGCACATGTTGCCTTGTCATAGACAATATCTGTCTTATCAAGAGCTTTGAGTAATTCCCTGGGATCACACAAGAACTCTGGTACGTTATATATATATATATATGTTGCAGTTAAAATTTTATCTCACTGGTAATTTTTACTTTTCTATTGTTTTTGGGTATGGTTATGTATGCAAATGAAGTTGAAACAAAAGAAAAATAAAAATTAGCTACAACATGTATGTACGATTTGAAGAAAGGGATTAAATGGATAGCAATTTTAAAAGAGGAGTCTATTTTGCGCCCTGTTGATATGAACACTAAGACCCCTAAATTAAGAGTCTGACTAATGGCTGCAGGTTGCGGGTTGAAAGTCGCAGGTGCGGATACTTTCAATCCCAAATCTCGCCCTGATTTTGTTTAAAATCCTGAATTCCGAACTTCAAATAAGCGAAATTCGAATAAACGGAATCGCTGTTTATGTTCTTGACAGAAAACGGTCACAAGCGACGATTCCAAGGAGAAAACTTTGTGATCACAACTTGCTTTGCTGCGAGAGTGACAGCCGGCTGCAAGATTACACATGTCCTCTTGGCAGTTTAAGCAGAAAGAGGTGGCAGGATGTTTATCACTACAAGCTTCGCAAGTGTATAAGCGTTCACCTTCTTCGTGATGGGGTGTGACTTTTGTATTAATAATGCTCAACAACTCGAAGTTCTTTGGCAGTCCCGCGACTCCAGCTGGAGGTAGGTTAACTTCAACTCTGCACATGGGGCAGGACATTTTGTCGTCTTCAATGGTTAACCGTTCCAGGCAGCCGGTGACAGCTGTGACCACAACTCAGCACGCGAGGGCAAATGTTTTGTTCATCAAGTGGCTCGGAACAGACTCTATACTCAGGTCCTTCAGCAGAGGCCATTGCCTGAAAAAAAATAAACGGAAAACCTCTTGAAATTAAACTTCACAATCATCTCGTCTGCGATTGACATTAAGTCCGAATCTGAAGTGATTTTGCCCCAGGTCCGCGGTCAGTTCGGGTGCTAGCCTGAGTATCAGGCCTTCCTACGCCTGATACTCAGGCTATTCGGGTGCCGTCTGAAGACCCCCAAAATCCAATTCGTTTAGTTATGAAGTAGAATTGTTGCCGTTAAAAGTCTAATCAGTCGGGAAAATGTAGGGTTCTAATGGCAAAAGCTAAGACTTCATCTTACTTGTCTCGTAATTTGGAAAACAAAGAACCTCGTTTAAAATTTTTAAGGTAACGCGAGATCCCGGGGGGGCACTCCCATACCAACCTCGTCCCCAGGGCTTTTCCCTTGAAAAATGGGTGGGGCGGGGCTTTTCCCGCCCCACCCATTTTTTAAGGGAAAAGCCCTGGGGACGAGGTTGCTCCCATACATTACCTATACGGGTATGTGCCGCCCAACGGGGTCGTGATTTTGAAGCTCCTGGTTTAGAACGGGGTATCCATTTCAGAGGCGATTTCTAGAAAGGGGTATAATATTTCGAACGCACGAAAGCTCCACTTTTGTAAGCAGCCATTTGAAATTATTCAAGGACAGATTGCTTTTAAAAATACGGTTCAATGCGTTAACAAGCAAACTGTTATACTCTTGTTGCACCCTCGGAACGGAGTATAAAAAATTGGCCCATTTCTAGAACGGGGTATCAGTTTTAAAGCGAATTCTAAGAAGGGGTAAAAAAAATTGGCCCATTTCTAAAACGGGGTATCAATTTGAGGAGAAATTTTTTTTAGAACGGGGTGCCAACTTGGAGTCCCGGGCGGCACATACCCACCCGAAAAATACCCAAGTGCCCCCCCGGGCGCGAGATAAACTAAGAAGTCGCCGTAGTCGCTAGAATTAAGTAAGCTGGTTGAGTTCGATTTAGCCTGCGTAGCAAGCGTTTCCGCGCGAGTTCGTCGAGAAAGTTGGGAAGAGAGCAAAAAAAGGAATAACTTTCGCACAATAACTCGATTGGAAACGCTTGCTACGCAGGCTAAGTTCGATTGCACATTGTTGGCTCCACTAGTTTATATGTCGGTGTTTAAATAAACAATGTCACTTCAATGCAGATTTTGCCTTAATAATGAATACCATTCGAAGAAAGGGATCGGATGGATAATGATTTTAAAAGAGGAGCCTATTTTGCCCACTGTATATACGAATACTAAGACCCCTAAATTTACCCCCAGTGAAAGCAGATCGAACACAACTTCATGATTCGTCGGATACGATTTTGGGGTTTTTCGACAGTGACATGACAGCGATTCTTGAAAGACATGCCAAACTGGACTATGTAACATATATATCTGAAAGAATCTCTCCGCTGTTGGTCTCTCACAGTGTTATGATTTAATGGTCATATAATATTCAAAATAGTCCTGATCGTACCAAAATGTTACCAAAATGGTAGAGAGACTGGAACGTTATGAAAAGCCCGCTCATCGGCGCTGTAAAACTGAAAAGTGAAAACAGATGTGTGTGTGTGGTCTGTGCGTATGAAAGCACTATTACGGGCAAGGACAGCCCCATCTCTTGCATGTTTGCGGTCAGTCAGTACAATTAAATAACCGAATAAGAACTTTCTATCGCTCTTTGGTTAAATCCATCAAGGTAATAGTACTAATTATAAGGTTAAAATTCAAGACTGAAATATGCCATATATCAAATCGAGCTTAGAAACAAAGTACCGTGAAGCGGCGACCCTCCCACCTCCCCGCAGCGATGACCTACGTGCCTACCCAGACGATTATTCAGATCACTGCGCTACGCGACAGCAGAATTAGCTTCCCCGTGACATACTTGAAAAAGTTATACGTACCTTAAATGAGGCAAACAATTCAGTGCAGTGAGTGTAAAAACCTCTATGATCACGATCTCTCTACAGACAGCACTTCCGCCTTGTTGTGGAGAGTATGAACCATTTCACTTCTGCATGGAAGGGGACGGTGGGGAATATTCTGAACATGAAATACAGTGAAACCTCTTTTAAGAGGACACCTTCGAGACCTTCCCAAGTGTCCACTTGATAGAGGGTGTTCCCCAAATTGAGGTTTGTGAAAATTGCGCAATGTTTGGTAACGATTTACATTCAACGGCTGCTCTGTACTGTGATGAAGCTCCATGTTGATAAGGAAGCTTCCCAGAGTCCAAGTTCATTACCTTTCATTACCAACTTTAATTCGTTTGTAAACGCAAAAACATTAACCGACTACAGTGCGTATTTCAAGGACCTAATCCAATACTACTATTGTTAATTCAGTCCGATGTCCGCTTAATAGAGGTTTTTAACAATAGAAATTAGCCAAATACAATTTATTTTAGTGTCTGCGTCCGCTAAATAGGTATCCGCTAAATAGGGGTTCGTTATAAAGGGAAATATCAGACGTTCGTTTCGGGACCGGCTTAGTGTCCCCTTAATTGGGGGTCTGCTTAATAGAGGTTTCACTGTACAAACTAGTAAAAACCAAAGATTTTGAAGTGCGGGCGACAACGATCGGAATCCAAACGCTTTTGCCCATCGCTATGCTTTGCGTAAGTTTCACGTGACCGATTTTCTTTTTTGACCGATAGTCAAAACACGCATGATCAGATTTAATACTGGGGATAGAAGGTCGAAACGCAGGTGATCAAATTGCGTTCTGTGCATTCCATCCATTATTGGTGGAAGTCCAAACAAATGCTGGCTACATACATGCGACGCATGCGTAATAACAACCTGGAGATTAGGATTGCGGGCGCCCCTGGGTACCGACTCTCACCGGACCATTTCCAAAAATTCAAGCCGATGCCGGCTCCTGATTGGGCACAAAAAATGCTTTGTATTATTGTGCCCAATCGGCGAACACATCTCAACGAGTTCTTTTCGTGTGTTCGTAAATGACGGCTATTGTCTCGATCACGGCTTGTCTAGCTTATGCACCAGGGCGGATAAAGGTTGGGCGGTGAAACGAACGCGTCCGAGCAAAAAGGTGTGATGCAGTGGACTGGAACTATGCTTAGAAATGTCGCTTGTTTTCGACTTCGGTCAGGGCTTGCGTAGTCTCCTTCGCAGCCGTTATTAGGGTCGTCACTCGTCACGCAACGCTCCTCCACTAGTGGAGGAGCGTTGCGTGACGAGTGACGACCCTAATAACGGCTGCGAAGGAGACTAGGGCTTGCGATGTGGTTAGTCCATTAGACACTGCCGCTGTCACTGAATTATGGCGGCTTGATTTGTTTTCTTGCACTTCTTCCCCGTTCCTTTGTGCTGGTACGCTGTCTCAGAGGGGCAAATGTTGCTATTTTTTTGCTGGAGGTTTAATTGGAGTAGACAAATATCTCTTTCAAAGGGTTTCTCTTATTACTTCCATGACTCTACCACTGAATTATATTTTCGTTCTACCACTCGCCAATGCGATGTTATTCCAAAATAAAAACAACTAGGTACTGTCTAAAACACGAAAGAAAATCTCATCCATGTCATCCATGGCAAAACTAAAAGACAGCAGATCGTGTTTCATAACTAGATGACGTGTATTTTATAAATGCGTGCAGCTCGTGCAAGGTGAAATTATGCTAATTTCAATCACCACCATCCTTCTTTTTAATTTTGAAAAAAAAAATCTCATACGTCTTTCTGTTTCTTCGAAACTTCAAAATTAGTTTCCCCTCAGTTTTTACTGTTTATCTTGTTTTGTTTTAGAGAGAAAAACGGAGAAAAAACCTTACAACTATCCTCAATAAATTTTGTTTACATGCG